CTCTTATTGACCATTAAAAGAAGATGTTTGGCTGTAACTGTAATTCCAGGTTAACACAAATATTCCCACAATCACATTAAGCATATAGAGTTTTAAAATTCTGGAGCAGGCCTACCACCACACCTCTTCACCATCACTACATAAGACACAATTGAAATTTCTTCTCGATCAACAGCAATAGAAATTATTTTGTTTTTCAGGACCACTCTCCATGAGGAAATGAGAATTCTCATGAGAACTGTTGAACGCATAATAATGAGGGGAAATGATAAAGATGTGGATGATAAGATGTGGATGATAGGTGGCTTTCTAGCAGATGATTGGCTCTTATTGTCATCCTTCAATAGTGACCCTAATTCGTGCCCCAGGAAAACTAAAAATGACAACTTTGTGGCCCGGTGGGCTACTTCTTGGGAGCATTAGTTCTAGAAGTATTTATTGTCATGTACTGCTGAACAGTCAAATGAGCAAACCTGTTCTATGTTTTCTCAGGAGACAAAACTAGGACCAGGGGTTAAATAATGCAATGAAGCAGATTCGGGGCCCTCATGAGAACTTCCCAGCAGACGTGTATGTAATGAAATGAACAGGGCAACTTAGAAGGTAGAGGTACTCAAATAGAGGCTAAAAGACTTTCTTGGATGCTATTAACAGAACTTTCAAGAAAAACAGTGTGTTTTTCTCCAAACCTCATGTGAAATCCCAAAATATAACACAAATGAAAACAGCACTGCTCTGGTTGAAGTAAAAAATGGAGAACCTAGAACTCCATTTACTCCCCTTGTTTTAACCCCCAAGGCTTCTCAGGCAATACCACAGGGCTCCAAGGAATGCAGTTTAAAAACTATAGCTGTAAAAATATTCTAAAACTATCATACTGACCCAGCAATTCTCAAGTTTTCTCTACTGGGAAACACAGGGCAAGTGATAATTAACATACAGATCTTGAACCCGTACCTATATGCAGATTCAAATATCCCCCAAAATTTCATGGGGCAATAAAGCACCACAAAAATTCCCAAGCTCCACATGTACTAACAGTACCTACAGCTCTCAGGGAACTAGACATAACCCGGCCTGCCTCATTCACTCAGGACACGTTCCAGCATACAAGAGAGTTTGAAATATAGTATTATTACTGACATAGCCTTGGATCTAATTTGTAAAACTGATAATTTTTAAAAGATATTCACAACTTTAAGTATCGTATCAATAATTATCAATTCTTTGGGTCCTACCTCACAACTGACCACAGCACATCAGGAGGTTGTAACCCTGGGCTTAAGAACCTGGGCGACTTGAAGCAGTAGCCCCACCCACACCGAAGCACCAGAGCCGACTGTACACATTAGATAACACGGAAATAAAGTGAACATTTTATGAAATTACATAACTGTGTTGAAATACATAAAGGCTTAAGGTTTTAGGTATAAAAGCAAACAGCTGTCAATTTCTCTCTGTTCAGCCAGAGGTATAGGCATCATCAAAAAAGTAGCCTAGTGGTGCCTGGGTAGCTCAATCATTGAGCATCCAACTTCAGCTCAGGTCATGATCTCACAGTTGGTGAGTTCAAACCCCGCATCTGGCTCACTGCTGTCGGCACAGAGCCCACTTCAGATCCTCTCTCTCACTCGGTCTGTCCCTTCCCCCTTAAAAAAAAAAAAAAAAAAAAAAAAAATTTAAAAATGTTTAACAACAAAAAAAGAAAAAGTACACCAATGAAATTTTACTGTCCCTGCTCCTTTGAAATTCTTTCAGAGTATCCAATACCATGATCAGCAGCTTAGATTTAGCTATGTGGTAGAATTTAAAACAACGAGGTATCTATTAAATAACTTTGAGTATTTATGATTTGCCAGGCATGGTTCTGAAAGTTTTACATGCATGAGCTCATTTAGGTTCTGTAAGAAACCCACAATATGGCTATGGTTGCTACCCCCTTTTCATAAATGTGGAAACTAAGGAGCTAGGTGGCTCACTGAGTTCTACACAATGGTGAAGCTGTAGAGCTGGGGTTTGAACCCAGGCAAATCTGACCCCAGAGCTCACAAGCTTAACCTTTACACTAGCCAAGAAGCCAGAAAAATCTTGCTGTCCAGAAGGAAATGGAAGAGGTAGTTTGCAAAAGAACTGATTCTCACATTGTTATATTGCTCTATGTTGTCTGTAAGCCGCAAAAGAAAAGAAAAAGATATAAATAAAGAATGGATTTGAGGAATTGGAGGAAGAGGTATGGTTAAGCTACTTTTCTTGCAAAAGGCAAAAAAAAAAAAAAAAAAAAAAAGCCAAGAATTCTGATTACTTCATCTAAAGGTCAAAAGAGAATTTCTTTTTTCTATCGAGAAGATAGAGATGAAATGTGTTGGCTCACCCTGGGGCTAAAGAATAATTAGAAACACTCCCTCCACAGCTAATTGATGGGCCCAAGGGGACACTGGCTCCTTGCTGGACTCAACGCAGTGCTGGGGAGACTTCTGGAGGGCCAACCGTAAGCAAGACACACAGGAGACCTGTGGCTCACCAACAGGGACTGTTGTCAGCCTCGTGACAACCAGAGCAATAAAATCACCAACAAAATATCTACAGAGATATTTAGAATTATAAAACGTCCTAGCCATCACAGGGTTTGATCCTCACAACTAATCTGTGAAGCATACATTATCACCTGATTTACAGGAAGAAATTGAGACACATAAAAGTTAGTAAGTGCCTTATTCGAAGCTTCTCAGCTGGTTAAGGGCAGAGCTGGCACTCAGATATGATGTCAAAGCACCTCCCTTTCATCACAACCCTTGTTGTGTATGTTACTCATTCACTAGATGGGGCAGTAGGGCCTTGGGTTAAATATGCAGGATATGTCCTGGGCTCATATCTTGACTCTACCACTTACTAGTTGCTGGACAACCATTAGCAACTTACTTAACCTCTATCCAACTCTGTTTACGAAGCTGTAAAATGGGAATCATAATAGTACAGGCCCAATAGGGCTTTTGTGGTAATTAACTTAAATTTAAGGAGTTAATGTATAGAAAGAGAAAGCAAACTGACTAGTAATACTAAGCATTCAACAAAACTTAGTCTTTATTGGGGTGCCTGGGTGGCTTAGTCGGTTAAGCGTCCGACTTTGGCTCAGGTCATGATCTCGCGGTTCATGGGTTCGAGCCCCGCGTCAGGCTCTGTGCTGACTGCCAGCTCAGAGCCTGGAGCCTGTTTCAGAGTCTGTCACTCCCTCTCTCTCTGACCCCGCCCTGCTCACGCTGTTTCTCTCTCTCTCCTAGAAATAAATAAAACATTAAAAAATTTTTCTGAAGTTAGTCTTTATCATTAATCATTACTCATTTAACAAACTTTGATCACATGGTTATTCTGCACCCGGCCTGTGTGCCTGGCCCTAAAGATATGTGATAAACCAGGCATGATATATGATAAACTCTGCCCCATGGTTGTTCACAGGCCTTGGGAGACCAACACAAAGAGAGACTTATAATACATGGAAGAAGTTCAATGGTAGTGGCAAGTTACCATATAGGATATCATGAAGGCACCCAAAATGACTTTTTATCTAGAGAAATCAAAGAAAGATGCTTGAAAAGAGTTTGTAAAACAGCATCTTTTAATACCAAGAAAGATGCTACAAACTGAAATATAGTTCGAAACTAAATATCAATGTCACAATACTTTATAAAAACAAACAACACAACTCCGAAATTTAGAGTTGAAGACCTAGTTGAAATCCCAATTCTATAACCTACCACTATATTGACTTTAAACAAATAATTGAAATTCTCTGTACTTCCATTTACTCATCTCTAAAACTGACATAATGGCAATGCACCTCACAAGGTTGTTACACAGATGAAATGATGTATCTGAAAGTGTTTTGTAAATTTAAAAATGTTATTCTAAGTATTACTGATTACAGTATTACTGATGAGGCAGATACAGAAGTGGAGGAAAGAGAAGAGAGAAGGGGAGGGAGTAATGCTCTAAGCACCTGCTGAGGGGTGTGGGCAAACAGAGAGAGCAGAAGTCCTATCATGCTCCCAAAGTCTGAGGCATACACAAGGGATGACGTTTCTAGTTGAAAAGAGCAGGCAAGGGTTTAGCCAAAATTTTAAATCTACACACTAGTTCTCTCCCTTCCTTCTTTCAGGTCTTTCTGAGATTTGAGCATCTTTACCTGGGGAAACCACACTATTGGCTTGTGAGTAGTTGTAACTAGAGGCTGCCCCCTGCCTCCATCTTCAGAGCCCTTTTGTCCCCTATGGCTCACTCCCTAGTTGCAGAGAGTGCCACGACCAGACCTGGAGACACACATCCCATCCCCAGCCATCTACAGAAGAGTTTCTTTGCCACAACGTCTCGAAAGGCCCAGCCAAGTGACAGTGAATTGAGCAACAAGAGGTGCAGTCTGAGTTTGCTAAGGGAACAAGGACAGTGAATGGCACAACCTAGGGAAAGACACCGTGTCATAAAAGAGGCTGGGGATTGAGAGCATGATGAACAGAGAAAGTTGCACAGAGGACATGGAAGGAATAGGAAAGTGAAGGGCCACATGTGCCAGATTAGAGAGTGTAGGCTTTGTTATGGTGGGTGTTGAAGACCCATGGGGAGTGTAAAGAGAGAAACATGACTTGTCTGAAGAGGTCTCTCTGGCCACAGAGAAGCAGAGAATACACTATGAGCTGATGGGACTAATGACAGAAAGACCAGTTATCTAAAAGGCCCATCCTGAGGGCATAGACTCCATTTTAATTTGCCTGAGAAGAGAGGAGGAGGACTCAAGAGCTCTATAAAAAGGAAAATCAACAGAATTTAGAGACTGGTTGGATGTAGGAGAGTGAATTAAAGAGAGAAATCAACATGAATACTACTTTGAGTAACTGGACTAATAGACTGTGGTTTTGTCAAAACAGTCAGTTTTAGTAAAAATAGTATCTCCTTACATTGAAAATGAGACTTCTTATTTACTATAAATCCCATTTGATACTCCTGTGAATTTGGAATTCATGGGTTAGGTAATACCTCTTCTTCATGGATGGTAGTTGAGGCTCAGAGAGATGAATGCTTGCCTGAGTTCCTGCAAACAGCTAGAAGAGAGAAGAGTTAGAATCAGCCCATTAACCCAGAGTTGACAAGTAAGTCTCAAGTTGTGTTCCAACTGGTAATAACTGCCTGAAGCACTATGTTGAGATTCTGGTATTGAGTCTGGCCTTAGAAATCTAGGTGCCATAACAAATTGGCCATGTCTGTCAGGACACCAGGAAAGGAGAGTAGCAGTCTGTTACATGTTGGCCAGCCCTGCATCAGACTATCGTGTCTCATTAGAATTGGAGAGGGGCGCCTGGATGGCTCAGCTGGTTAAGTGTATCACTTTGGCTCAGGTCATGATCTCACACTCTGTGAGTTCAGGTCTTACGTCGGGCTCTGTGCTGACAGCTCAGAGCCTGGAGCCTCCTTCAGATTCTGTGTCTCCCTCGCTCTCTACCCCTCCCCCACTCACACCCTATCTCTCTTTCTCTCAAAAATAAAAATAAAACATTAAAAAAATAGAATTGGAGAGAACAAGAAGACAAATTTGCTTGGATCTAGCAAACAACTCCTAAACAATTACCTTCCTGGATATGGATCATACATTGTACTAATGGACAAAAACTGACAGTAGCAAGATGCCCAAGTCCTTCCATTCTTGCCCCATTTTATCACTCTGAGATGGGAGGTTCCCTTTTTCCAGACAATCATAGTCCTGTTATAACATTTCAAGTGACAAAAGTGTATCCCTGCTGCCATGCCTCCTCTGAAGGTGATGCAACATTTTCTTTTTGCCCATCAGAAGTCCTTTTCCTAGAGAGCAACAAAAAAGACATCTTCTCTTTATCTGTTAAAAAAAGACAGCACAAATACTCCAATCTCAGAATTGCTGAAAGGTTAAATAATACATGAACCTGCATGGCATATAGCAATCATTCTATAAATGCTTTAAAATTCTTATTTATCCAATAAACTGATGGGATTAAGAGAGGCAATATTTTGGTCAAACAGGCTTTTGGTGCCCTTAAATTCATATCTCTGCTCAGGGATAGTCTTTCAACCTCAAGTGACAAATGGTTCTACTACCGTTTATTTCAGACAAAATGCATCCAAATTATTTACAAGTGGTGTTTAACATTCAAAGTCAAAGATCACAATATAAATTGTTCCTAAATCCAACTGTCATACTAAGGCAATTCAATCAACTCAACAAAATCAGTGATAAAAGTTCCTTCTAACCTAAAATTCCAGGAGTCCACGAGTTGGTAAATTTTTTTCTCAAAAAAGTAAAACATTCTCATGAGCAACATGCAGAAGTAGGAGACTGAGCCTAATTCTAGCTCTTCTACTTACTCGCTGTGTGGACTTGGGAAAGTTACTCTATTGCTCACAGCGTCAGTTTTCTAATCTGTAAACCCATTAGAGGGTTTGATCAAACTAAAATGAAGTAACGTAGGTAAAGCACTTAGTAAAGTGCCTGATACGTATTAGGTGCTACAAAATGCAGTTATTTTATGTAGATGGATTAAAGTGATATAAAAAAAATCATGAAGCCTACCAATCCACTGACTGACATCAGTTGATATGACCTTGCCTTTCCAATGCAGCTTCTCAATTATAATACTTTCTGTCTTCCCAGAACAGAAAGTGTAAAGTCAGACTTCTGAAAATAAAATTTCACCCACTCAATCTATTTTTTGATTATGGGTATAAGAAACATCACAGTGATGAACAAAAATTCTGACTGAGGACCCAAACATCTTGGCATTGTGTGAGTACCAGTGAGAGGTACTTCATAATTATCCTTTAAATTATTTTATGAGGACCATTATTTTCCAAATACAGTAACAAATTAAAGTTCTCATTTGACACTGAAAAGCACACTCACTCACAGGAATTAAGAGACCAATGAAAACAATGATTTTTCAAGCTCTTAGTACATACTTTGTACAGTTCTAGGCACAGCATGGATAGAAGAAAAGCATAAAATATGACCTCTATGCATAATTTATCACCTCACTAAAGAGATATGATTGGACAAAGGGATTCCATTCAGAGCCAGAATCACTGTAATCAAGAGCCAGCAACCTGAGCTCACCCCACAACCAGACGAGTGAGAGATCATAGAACTAATACTTGGAAAACGGTGGGTTTTCCAATCCATATCAGAAATGCCTACTTAGGTAGAAAGAAGAAAAGAAGCTACTTTCTGAAGGCCTCAGGCAGTTGACCATAGCTGAAGAGAACATTACCAATGTCCTCTGGGCTATTTATCTTTATTGGCACTATTTTTGCAGGCAAATGAGAGGAACTGCTTGTTCCCAATTAGAACCTAGTTACTACAACTTTCAGAAACCCCCTCCTTGCCACGATTACAATTACCACACATACACACATGCGTGTGTGCACGCACATGCGTGCACAAAAATCACGGCTCTGGGATTCTTAACTGTGACTCTACTGCACAGCAATACTGTATATGGAATACTTGTTACAATCAACTTTTCCTTGAGAACCCAATGCTAGACTCCCAAGTAGGAAGCATTTTCCCCTACCCCACTCCATTCAGCTATCAAAAAATCCATTAGACAACCTTCTCCCTCAGAACAAAAGGGCTTCCAGGATGTTTCACAAGCTCTTCTCTGTGGGTTTGAAATTATACACAGCAGTGCCAAAGGTAAGGCATTTCTAGAGGTTTTTTTTCTTTTCTTTTCTTTTTTTTTTTTATCACAGTTCTGGGTGTTATTTTTTTTTTTCTGCTCCCTCTCCCTCTTGTGGTATATATTTGTGGCCTACAGCAATCACTTTAGACTTTTTAGACACGTCCGGATAGAGATAGATGACACAAGTGATCTACTTATCTTCCTTTCCCATCACCAATAAAAGTGACAGCCCGCCTAATTAGGCCTAATAAAGCAGCCGCAGAAAGAGTGGCACAGCAGCGATCTAAAGAGAGATGGCGCTGACCCGGAGATACAGGTGCTGCCTTAAGGCATTGCTGCTATTACTTTATCTCCAATACATTACAGTTCTGCTCATGCCATATTCAAATGCAAGTAGCATGTTTTTCTCCTCAATTCTTAGATCAAGAACAAAAAAAATCCCATCTAATCAAAAAAGGCACTGACAATTTTTCAGCCCCACATTAAAAGCAAAGAGTCATTCAGAACAGTGCACTCCATATTCTATTTTATAATATCACTTTAAGCTATTGCTTTGAATCTCAGACATTTCTTTGTTAAGAAGGAAAATCAAAAATTCATCAGAAGAAGTTCTTTCTTCCCTACTCTCTTTTTTTTTTCTTCCAGGGCTAGCATGGGGTTTGGAGCTGGAACCAACATTTGTAGAAGTTAGGGGTCCTTAAGCAATTATTGGCGATGAGAGTTTGACACGCTTGAGAGTTGTCAACAACTGACTTTAAACAAAGTGGTAGGAAAGAGAAATAAACGGTGCTCTCAGCAAAATTAATATACAGGCCTGCAAATTAATGATGTCGTGTATTTTTTAAACAAGGGGAAAATATCTGAACTTTGCATGAAACAGCATTTTAAGTACATCTTTGCAAAAATTATCAGATTGTCAAAGGGCATCAAAGTGAACTGAGTCTGCAACTATTCATAATATTTCCACATATGCTAAATGCAAAATTTATCTTACTTTGTTCACCTGTTCTGTAGCAATTATTTAAAGCTATTAGTAAAGGAGAAACGTCCTTGATCTGACGTGCCAGTTCTTGTTCCACAGCATTTATTATAAGAAACATAACCCCCTACTTTGCCCTCATGTGCGTGGCCATGTGTGCACGTGTACACACACACTCACACACTCACACACACACACACACACACACACACACACCATGCAATCCACTACTTACTAATGACCACATGCTACTCACTGCTACGCATTCTATCTCACTTTCTTTAACTTATTCCTGCAAATAACCCATCCATTCACACTGATTTGCTTGCTACATGTATGAAAGTAAGTTTCTCCAATCTCTACTTTCAACTATTAGTTGTAACAGCCCTGTATCCAAAATGAAATCTATGGTCTTCTTCCTACCCTTGCCCAATACGAACCTTCTTAAAACCTTCCTCCTCACCAACATTCCCTCATTACCAACGGTAGGTATAGCTCCCTGTTGCTGAGCTGTAATCCATCCCAACTTACCTTTCTCCTCTGTGCTTTCCAAGGTGAGGTGATGTAACAGTCAGAACTATCAACCATTCATAACACCTGCCAAGTGTTCTGCAAGATGACATAGATGTTGCATTTAGTGGTGAATTTAATACCTAACAATTCTGTAGAATAGGTATATTTTGTCCACATGTTTTATTTAACCATTAAAGGAACTCTGAGAAGTAATGTAATTTCTACAAGGCTATCTAGCCAGTAAGTGGCAGAACTGAAATTCATGCCCACTGATTATCACAGCAATCCTGTTACAAAAGAAAAAAGGAGGGGGGAGGATCTCTGGAATTAGTGGCCAGTTGTCTCATTGCATTGTGTCCATCCTGACAATTATTTGTCCCAATCAATTCACTGAACACTGGAATGGGTCTTTAGCCAAGTTTTTCATCTCTAGTATCCATCCAGATATATATCATAAGAGCAATCCCCATTTCCTCACATACAAAAACCCTGGATCTGCCCCCCATCAGCTGGGTAACACTGGGACCCTCACTTACCCAACCCAAGTCCCAGTTTCCTATTTCACAAAAGGGGATTTATGATATGCTCCACCTGGAAGATTTGTCAGGATCAGTGAGGATGCATGGGAAGGGACTGGCACAATACCTGCCAGTCAACAAGCCCAATTACCAGCAATTTCTATTGTTATTATTCCTTTCTGTAATATCATTCCCTCCAACTCCATGGAAGCACAGCTTAAGGGGCCTCATGGGAGGTCAAGTGTCAAAGGAGAGAAAGACTGGGCTTAGAAATTCACAGCTCTCACCCGGATTCTGGAGGTTGCTATTTATTACCTTGTGACACTGGACAAATCACTCACCTCTCTAGCCCACGGTTGTAACAGTCAAATAGGTATGACAGTGCAGATCGCTAGCATTGGTCAAAGTTCTAAATGTGGTAACAGTGAGATCCTGGTAACGTACCTGACATACACACCACCTCATTTAACCAAGAGAAGCTGTTGTAACATTTACTGTATTGCATGCCAGGCATGAGCTAAGTACTTCACATACATTCTCTGGTCTAACCCTTATAACAACCGTATGAGGTCACTCCCCATATCTCTATTTTTAAGATGAGAAAATTGAAGCTTAGAAAGATCATGTAACTTCCCCAAATTACAAACCTAACCAGTGGCTGGGCTGAGATTGTAACCTAAGCTACCTATCTCCAGAAAATGCACTCCAAATCTTCTTAGATAACTGTAGTTCCTGTTTCCTCCCTCCATGAAGACTTCATTGACTAACAGTCACACTCCATCTCCCGTCGACCAGGAACACACACACATGCAGTCACATGTGAAGTTAAATAATAGGAAAAACCAAACTACTCCTAAAGATATGAGAACTGTGGCTGCTTTTGGGAAGAGTTCAGGGACTGATTAAGAAGGACACAAGAGAACTTCTTGGGGTACTAGAAATTCTCTATATATCTTAGAGTACTGGTTACACTGGTATCAAAATTCATCAAATTGTACACTTCAGATTTGGGTATTTTAATGGATATAAACTACACTTTCATTTGAAAAGATAAAATGAGATAAATTATATAAAACTACCAAGTGTCAGGCAAACAATTCATGGCACTACATATTTCAGATGTTCAGTAACTATTTAATAATAAGGCCCAACAAATTCCAAATACTGTGGTTGGGGATGGAAATAGCATGGTGGTCAATCATTCCTATCATTTATGTGATATTCACAACTCTCACTGTTTAATAGTGTGGATGGGCACAGAATGGTAACTCATTGAAAGAAAGCAGAAACTAATGGAGCTGAGGCTGAAAGCTGGCTGTGCCCATGGGCAGGTACTAGAAAGTAAAAGACACACCAAGGGAATGGTGCCATCAGAAAGGCAGAAATCAGAATGAAAGGATTTCATTTCACAGGAAACAGAGGGGAGTCCAGGTAAGCCTTAGCAACAGAACGGATGAAGGAGTAAGTCCTGAAGGCAAGCAGAGCACACCAATGCCAGGGATGGCTTATAGAAGGTCCCTGAGCAAGTATGAGGGCCCCATCATAGAGCAGACACCCATTTACCCAAACAATGGGACAAGGTGAGGCCCTGGCAATGAAATTGGTCCAAGCACCAGGCTAGGGTAGACTAACCTAGTGCTGGCTGATGCTCAATTGAACTAGGAGTCCATATTCACCTCCTCCGTTCAGGACTGTCTCCGGAGGCAGGAACATGAAATGAATGACAAAGGACTCTAAGTAAGGGGAGAGAAGAGCTATGAGGTCAAGGCAAAGCAGATCTCAACATACACATTTTCCAGTATTTGAGAGTAAAAAGATGATCTGCAAGAAGGACCACTGGCCAATAACGTATATACTGAGACTGACCATAGAATTCCATGAGAATGGTAGTGGGCTCCTGACATATGTGTTCTATGTTCAAACTAAAAAACATCACTTGGGACTCAGATGGACCTGAGTTTAAAATCAGCTCTGCCACTTACTGTCTGACTTAACCTTGTGGGTCTTAGGGTTCTCCTCAGTAAAATGGAGATGATAATGGTACCTGCCACTTAAGTCTATTAAGCAGATTCAGTGAGATAATGTCTGTAAAATTCATAACAGTGTCTGACACACAGTAAGTGTCCAATAATGGAAAGCACTGTTATTAAGAGCTGAGTGACAACTCAAGGCAGGGGAGCCAGCACACAATGGGGATGTGCTTTAGTTTCATGTAAAACATAAATGGCCAACAGCACTGGGGTTGTCGATCATATTATTTTATTCATGTCTTCTATACATTTGACCAATAGGAGAATTTCCATTCCATAACAGTAAAAGCTGGTTTATTTTGCATTCTAATAGTAGAAATCTCTAGCCTACAAAATTTCCAAATTTGCCATGATCAATGTCCATAATGATAGACTTAAGCTCTAAAAAATTCTGATGTACCTGATCCTAAACAGAATTTCCTAGTGTCTTTTACTGCAGTCTCACTATTCTTTGTGAATTGGCAATATATCTTGGTATCAAAATAGTAAGAACCCTATCCCCTGATCATTCAAGATATCTCCATCATACGAAGAAGACAATCACAGATGGCTCATATTTTCAGTATCAGTTGATATTATTTTAACATGACTTAATTGTTCATCAGTTCTGATTCCTATCAGCAAGAAAATTCTGAGGAAGATAGGAAACCAAGCTCAGACATATAAAATTGCTTTCTTTAATTTGTGGTGATGACACTGTTTCATGTGGCCCATTCCCAAGATATATTCCTGAGCCACAGGTTAAAAGCTGGTGGCCTACCCATTCCTTCCTAAGAACACTCAATGGAAATTAGTTTACCAAGAGATTTCAAATTTTTCAAGCCTCCACATAAACATTTTGATATATTTTCTATCATTTCACAACTAGATTAAAATGTGATAAGTAAAGGGTCTGTTACCCTTCCCAAGTTTGTACCAGTTAAGAAACAATATGAAAAAAAAATGTTGGGCTGTACAATAAAGGGGTCACCTTTACACTACACATATACTGTACATATTGTCATCTCTTACACACTTACCGTAGTTAGTGTTCTGTACACAATGAGCTCTCCATAAAAGCATTTGAACAATAAAAATAATGGACTGTATAGCAAAAGCAGAAAGCACTAAAATTGTAATTCTCCTATTGAATAAAACAGAGGTAGGGCTTCTTTCGTGGCTATTGGAAGTCCTGTATGGATGAATATCAGGTCAGAATATTAGAATTAATTATTTTCTCATCTTTTTTTTTTGCCACCCATTCCCTGCTATTGGTTTAGCATCTTTTCAATAACTCAATGACGCAAAGGTCTAATGATCCCCTCCCAGATATATTTTCAGCCTCTATAATAAGGTTTCTAAACACACATGTCACATAAGGAGCCTAATAAATTCATTTTTTTTTTCAGTTTGATGATCTTAGCCAGAAGCAATTAGAGAGCTGTTTTAGTATTTGGTTTAGTTCAAATGTGTGGGCATGCTTTGAGTTCTGAAAACTCCTTTGTAATAACTCTTGGGAAGAACCCTTCAGGCCACTCAGAGGCTTAACTTGCAAATGAGTGGGTTGTCCTTTAGCCTTGGTTACCAAAAATGGCCTACCACACAAGTATATTAAGTACAGGACCAATCTGGTTGAAGAACTAAATACAGTAAGTAGTACTGCTTTTCATTACTGGTTGGATTCTACTGTGATTGGCAACTGGCTTTTGCATTTCCCACCCTTTTGCTCCCTCTTTTGAATACATCTCTTTAGGTAACTGATCAGCAAACCAAATGCAAAGAAACACCCTTGCTAACAAAACACATGTGGCCATTGGTTGCTTAGCATTGCTCTATCTCAGGATCAACTGGTAACAAACTGAATAAAAACCTTTAACCCTTAATAAAATGAAATAATGTGCTTTCCTATGTAGGAATGTGCACATACCCACACACACAAAAGTGACATTTATCATTATCCTTTTAAAGAAAGATAATGAAAGCCACGGCAAGAAAACAAAAACAACTTCACCTGAAAAGACTGAGAGGAACTTCTGGCAAGCTTTCCTATTTTGGAGGTCACACACTTATAAATAAATCCCAGATTCCATAACTGTTTAGTGAACCCCAGAATAACAGGGGAAACAGGCAGCCGTGGGGTTTAATTCAATGAGTAATTTTTACATTGAGAACATCTTCCATATCACAAAGAGCAGGTTTCATCCAGAATATCATTTCCCCCACCCCCACCTTCCAACCCCAATATAACTTCTTAACAGACGGGGGAAAATTGCCTTTTAAATATTGACTTTCTCAGTCACTGCCAAGGTCAGCCAGTCAGCCGTGAATCACATTTGCTGCTGCCATCTTATACAGATCCCGAGCTAAGCTGCTTGCCAAGAAACATCTCCATGGCAAAGCTGCATTAACTATCCTGAGCTGGGATTCTAGGCATCTGAACCAGGAATGCAAGAAACAATTGCCTCCTTCACTGTAGGAGTCATCCCATTCCAACTCCTAGTGACATGTCTCAATGATACCTCAAACCTCTACAAAATGAGTCCTTACTCTTCAAATCAACCTTGCCTTG